GTTCGTTCTCGTAAAACTCAAAAAGCCATGAAAACTAAGTTTACACTACTCGCACTTTGTTTCGCTTTGGGCACTTTTGCTCAAACCGTAACGGTTACGAATACCAATGATTACGGCCCCGGCTCTTTCCGGCAGGCCATACTGGACGCCAACGCCAACCAAAGCGTTGACACCATAGACTTTGATATTCCCAACACCGACCCCAACTACAATTCTACTACCGGAGTGTACACCATTTCGGTAACAATTGATAAGTTGCCCATTATTAAAAACCACAACCTGGTAATTGACGGTACTTCACAGGCCGTTAATCGCGGCAACTCCAATACCTACCAGTTTGGTACCGGTGGTACCGTAGGTGTTGACGACCTCCCCTTAAGCAAGGTGGAAGGTCCGGAAATTGAAATCATAGACAACGGTGGTTTCAGTTTTGGCTTAGCCATTGAACGCGACAGCAACAAAGTTCTAGGTCTTGCGCTTAGCGGATTTGGAAACTCCTGGTACAGCGCCAGCGATGCCAATATTTTGGTACGCAAAGGTGCTCGCCACGCCCACATAGAAGCTTGTGTACTGGGCAGCGAAGCCCATACCGCCATGGCTCCGGCTACCGATATAAATGCCGGGTCAAACTTTCAGGCCATTAACGGTTCTGACAGCGGTACTTTCGTAAACAACTTTGTGGCCTATGGCGAATACATGGGCGGCCTATTGAAAAACAACGTTACCGGCTGGACCATCACCAACAACGAGTTTTACAGCAACAGCCTAGGCTCTAATATTTCCGATGGTCTCGACCTGGCCGACAACACCTTCCGCAACCGCGTGGTAGGAAACCTCTTTAAAGAAAATGGCGGTGCCGGGTTTGACAGCTACAACTCTACCGGTGGCCATTATATTGAAAACAACACTTCCGTTGGAAACGGACAGCGCAACGTTGAAAAAAGCGGCATGCGCATATACGGTACTCTGGCCGACACCATTACCAAAAACCGCCTTTACCAAAACGTAGGGGCCGGTATCATGGTAGTTTCCGGTGCAAAGCGCCACATAATTTCTAAGAACTCTATTTACCAAAACGGTAATATCATCGCTTCCAGCGGAAGCGCAACTACCAATCAGATTGGTATTGATCTCCTAAAGGGCACCGATAGCCACGTGGCCGGTACGCACCCCTTTTACACCATTAATGACGATCAGGATGGCGATTACGGAGCCAACACATTACTGAACTTTCCGGTAATTACCTCAGCGGTGATTAGCGGTGGAAATCTTACGGTGAAAGGTTTTGCCCCAGCCGGAGCAACCATTGAATTTTTTAAAGGCGACCTGTTTTCAGGTGCCGTTTATCCACAGGGGAAAACCTACCTGTTTAGTGCCGTGGAGGGCGCCAGCAGTGATGCTGACGCCACCACCGGTACTTATGGACCAGGAAACGTAAACGGAATTCCGCAGGGTACCGAAACCAACGCCAACCGCTTTGAGTTTACCGTACCTGCTCCCGTTGGCTGTTCGGCCAGCGATATTATTACCGCTACCGCAACCATTGCCGGCAAGGGAACTTCAGAATTTGGCGGAGGCTTAAACTTTACCGTTCAGGCTACTCCTCCTCTTACGCCCAACCTGGAATGTGTTTACATTGATGTAAACGGTGATATTGTTGCCCGTTGGGGGTACTCTAACAGCAGCAACTCTACCGTAAACGAACCCGTGGGCAGCGACAACAGGTTTACCCCCGGTGGCAACAACCAGGGCCAGCCCACCAGCTTTGCGGCCGGACTGAACAACAATGTATTTACCACCACTTTCAACTCTGCGCAATCGCGCACCTGGAAGCTACAGGGCACCAGCGTAACGGCAGATATAAACAGCATTCGCTGCCCGGCCGATTTAGCCGTAGGCACCTGGGCCAGTAACAATACGCCCAATATTGGCGATCAGGTTACCATAAACGTATACGTGGCCAATCTTACGGCCGGTACGCCTGCTACTGCGATAGAAATTGGCAACATGATTGACCCCAACTTTAGCGTTATCAGCGCTACACCTACGGCTGGTACGTACAACAGCAGCACCGGAGTATGGAGCATCCCTCAGGTATTGTTTGGCGCACACCAACGCTTAACCTTTGTGGTAAAAGTGAACGGAACCGGTACATTAACCGCTTCGGTAAACTCGCAAAATCAGCCCGACCCCAACTCAGCAAACAACAGCGCCTCAGAAACGCTGAGCTGCAACGGTGGTTCTTCAGGCGGCAACAACGGTGGTATAGAGTCAGAAGGTTCTATGGCCAGCTTAATTGCCCAGCGCAACTTTACCCGCGTTCGTACGGGCGCCCACAAGTTTTATGATCATATTAACGATGCGCCCACCATGCGGGAGTATCAATCCGGTAGAATGGAAAAATCTGCCAGCCTGGCCTCATTTGTTCCCGTTAGTGGTCCGCAAAATTCACAGGCCATTGTTACCAGCCCAACCGATTTAATTGGCATTACCAACGCCCTTAGCGTATTGAGTGCCGATTATTACAAGGCCAATCAGCAGCGCCTTGGTGCCGTGTTGGCCATGGAAACACAAAGCGAAGTGTACAACCACACCAAGATTATTTGCGACCGCTTAAACGGAGCTACCCTAAGTGAAATTAGTCACGTTACCGTGGATGGACACTCGTTCTTAATGACACGCCTGGACCAGGACAATGGTGAAATTGACTACGCAGTAACCTTTGTGGTGTACGAAGAAAACGGAAACTATACCGTTGACAACCGCTACGCCCTGGGCGAGTACGAGCCCGAAAACAACGGGAAAATTTACAACTTCCAGGTATGGTCGGTTTCTCCCAGCATTACCGTAAGTATTATTGAAGATATTATCAGCAATATTGAAGGCAGCGGCTCAGTTGACTTTATAAACATTGGCAACCCGCCTGCTCCTACCGTTTATGTAGAAAAAGGCGATTACAAAAACGGAGCGCTAACCCTGGAGATTGTAAATACCGTAGGTGCCAGCGAGCTTACGCTTGAAGCGAGCTCTATCAGTTCTGAAACTGAAAACCGCAGCTACTTTAACACCACCATTGCGCTTGATCCTACCAAAACCAAAGAAACCGTGGTTTGGAATACCGGATACATATTTGACGCAGGCTTTAGCCTTACCAATAATATGGGTGGCGGCAAAGACGTACTGTATTTTGCCGATGGCCCCTGGGGTGTTGACTACGAGAAAAACATCGGGGTGCGCAACGCCATGTGGAACGTAAACCCTGAAACAGGTTATACGCCTCAGGCCAACGAAATGCACCTTGAGCGCAATGCTTCCTTCAGTGGAAACATGAAAAACTACGTAAGCATTTACCGCATGCTTCGTCCGGGCAACCGCACCATGGATCTGAGCCAGTTTAACCAGGTAAGCTTTGATGCCAGCCTGAGCGGCATGAGCCAAATTGTGGTTACTCTGGTAAGCAATAGCATTGAAAACTGGCACGATCAGTTTCGCACCACGGTAGGTGTGAGCAACAGCGGTACCAACACCTACACGGTTGACTTTTCCAACCTGGCCAGCCTGGCCGGTGGTAAGTTCCAGGCCGATGATATCATCAACATTACCTTTTCGGTAATTGGCGACCAAAATAACTTCCAGGCCATGAGCATTGACGTGAGCAACGTAGTGTTCTCCGGCAACGGAAATGTGGTAAGCCTTGATGAAGAAAAGCTTGACGCCAACAACGGCCTCAGCGTGTACCCGAACCCGTTCAGCACGGCCGCCAATATTGACGTAGAAGTGGCCAAATCAGGTAATGTTCACCTTGAGCTATACGATTTGAGCGGTAAAATGATTGATTACCAAGACTTAGGCTACCAGTTTGAAGGGGTGACATCTTTCACCTACCAACCTTCCAGGGAGCTTAAAGACGGCATATACCTCATGAAAGTAGTTGACCCAATTCGTACAACTACGCAGCGTGTGGTAGTGAAAAAATAAGTAATCTGTGTTGCTTATATTCACGGAGCCCGGTGTTTGCGCATCGGGCTCTTTTTTTTGCGCTTGCGCGGAAAGTTGGCCCAAGCCTCATTCGGCCGACAGCGCCATTTGAGCGGGCATGGTTTAATGGCTAGCTTTGCCCCATGCGTTTGGATAAATATTTATGGTGCGTGCGCAAATACAAAACCCGCAGCCTGGCCACCGCAATGGTGAAAAAAGACCGGGTGTTGGTAAACGATGAAGACGTAAAACCTTCCCGGGAAGTAAAACCGGGCGACCGCATCAGTTATAAGAAAGAGGGCGTTAATTATCAGCTCAAAGTGCTGGACATTCCCAAATCGCGTGTGGGCGCCAAATTGGTTCCCGATTTTATGGAAGACATCACCCCAAAGGAGGAATTAGACAAGCTGGAATTTATCAGCATGATGCACAAACTCAACCGCCCGCGCGGATCGGGCCGCCCCACCAAAAAAGAGCGCAGGGATCTGGATGATTTCACAGACGTGTAGAAAAGCGGAATGTCGAAGTCGGAAAACGGAAGTAGCGGACGGACGTGGTAGTAAGGCGGAAAGTGGAAATTAAACCTCAACGTACAGTTAGAGAGCGTGAGCAAAGGCCTGCAAAACAACTACCTATCGAAAGCTAGAGGCGCTACCGCTCTGCCCTCATTTTCAAGGGAGGCTGCCACGCCAAAGGCGTGGCGGGTGGTTTCAAAAATAATACTGGTGATCTTTTTTCATTTCAGAAAGCGGACTTTTTGTGATAAAAGCCTTAGTCCGGCAAGCATTTCGACAGGCTCAATGTGACAAGCTGTAGGCTAAGCAGACGGAGCCTTTCTGTTTGAGCAATCAGTTGGTCAGGTTAAGGAAGTGCATTTTTAACGGGCAAACAAACCCTGCTGCCGCACGAATTCTGTCGTATGGCTCAAACAACTTTGGCAGGCGTAATTTTAGCCGATATGAATTGGTAACCACGCGAAGGGACGCGCGGTAGCGGAGAAATAAGCCGTGCCTCAAGGCCAACTATTTGCTCATTCTATGCCATGCGTAGGCGCCCAAAAAGAACAGCCCCGACACGCTAACCATGGCCCCGGCAATGCTGCCGTTGAGCCAGTTGGCCAGGAAATAGCCAAAAACTGACGACAAGCAACCAAAGAACACCGCCAGCAGCAACATGTTGATGAGCTTATGGGTAAGTAAATAGGCCGTAGCGGCCGGCACCACCAAAAGGGCTACAATAAGAATGGCGCCCACCGTTTCGAAGGAAATTACCGTGGTAAGCGAAACCAGGCCCATAAAGCTAAAATGCCAGAAAGCGGTACTAATGCCCAGCGCTTTGGCGTAATCGCTATTAAAGGTGCTAATCTTCATTCCGCGGAAGCCCACCACCACAAAGGCAAGCACAAGTATGAGCAGGCCCAGGCCGGTAATTAAAGCACGCGGAGCGATTGGCGTGCCCGCGGTGGTGTACAACAAATCGAGCGGTACGTAGGCAATTTCACCGTACAACACGCAGTCTTGGTCTAAGTCAACTTGTTGGGTAAGGCTGCTGATGAGAATCACCCCGATGGCAAAAAGCCAGGTAAACGTAATGCCGATGGAAGCATCTTCCTGCAGGCGGGCTTTTTTATGCAGCAACTCTATCATTACCGTGGTAAAAACACCCAGCACCGCGGCACCTATCAGCATGGGAATATTATCGCGGCTCCCGGAAATTAAAAAAGCCAGCACAATGCCCGGCAACACCGAATGTGAAATGGCATCGCCCAGCATGGCCATTTTACGCAAAACCAGGTAAGAGCCCAGCAAGGCGCAGCTCGCGGCAATAACCGCTCCGGTAGCTATTATGTACAGCGCTTCGGTGCTCATTCTGAATATGGAATTGGGCTTTCGTGAGGGTCTAATTTTGGGAAATCCAACTCCCGTAGCAATTGCTCTTCAATTTCGGGGGTAATGATGTGCTCAATGGTTTCGGCATTGGGGTGAATGTGATCGCTCTTCAGACGCATCCGCTGTGTGAGGTACATCTCCCAAATCCGGTGCAGGCGCACCACTCTTCGCGCCTCGTCCAAGCCGTTTCTGCTGAGCTTATAGCCTTCGCCCTGCGGCAGAATGTAGTGCCGCCTCTTTAAAATCCGGTAGCCCTTGCGCAGCTCCGTTCCAGTAAAATTGCGTTCGGCCTGTAAATGGCGAGTGGTGAGCACCGGTTGAAACTTGTGTTTTTGCTCGCCAATTTTATAAAAGGTTTTTAGCAGATTCTCGGCCAGTATTTTATCGCGGTTGGCTTTTTGCCGAAGGATACGCGACAGGACGCCCCGCTGCGGGGCCATAAAAATAGACAGAAGCGCCAGCACCGACAGACTCATAACCACCCACGGCCCGGTGGGCATTGCCGGGGCAGAAAAACTAACGTACGAACCCACCAAGCCCGAAACGGCCCCCGTGAAAGCGGCAATAATAATCATCCAGTGCAGCTTGTCGGTCCAGGCGCGGGCAGCCGCGGCCGGTGTAATGAGCAAAGCGGCCATTAACACTACTCCAACCGACTGAATTCCAATGGCTATTGCCAAGACAGTAATGCTGTTCAAAGTGGTTTTCAAAACACCTACCGGCAAACCCGAGGCCTGGGCAAAATCCGGGTTAAAACTAAACAGCATCAGCTCCTTGTACAGGCCGGTAACAATAATGAGTAATAACAGGGCCACAATAGAATAAACCATTAAGTCCTGGCGCGTCATGCTGGCGGCCTTTCCAAACAAAAATTGGTCTAAACCAGACTGCGAGCCTTCGCCTGAGTGCTGAATGTGTGTAAGTAAGAGTATACCAATACCAAAGAAAACGCTCAAAACAATGGCAATGGCACCATCGGTGCTCAATTTGGTTTTCTGTTGAATCTTTTCAATACAATACATGGCTATCCATCCGCTAATAAGCGCCCCCGCCAACAGGATTACGGGATTTTTGCTCTGTGTAAGCATAAAGGAAATGGCTATGCCGGGAAGTATGGCGTGGGCAATGGCATCGCCCACCAATGAGCGTTTGCGCAAAAAGGCAAAACTGCCCACCACCGCGGCACTCATGCTAAGAAACACCGTGCCTGCCGTTACAATTCGCAGCGTAGGGTCTTCAAAACTGAAAAACTCAAGAAGCTGGTTCATCGCCTGTGCCTTGTTTTTCGCGAAAGCCGCTTTCCCGCAGCGGAAAGCCTTTTCTTTCAATGAGGTCTCCTATTTTTGAAAGCACGGTTAAGCGCCCCCCGTAGGCTTCCTGCAGCAGCTCTTTGCTGAATACCTCGTTTTGAGGGCCTGCCGCCACCAGCCGGGTATTGAGCAGAACGGTCCAATCAAAATAATCATAGGCCGTCTGCAGGTCGTGGTGAATAATTATTACCGTTTTCCCCTGGTTTTTCATTTCCGCCAGCAAGGCAAGTATAGCCTCTTCGGTAGCGGCATCAACCCCAACAAAGGGTTCGTCCATTAAATAGAGATCTGCTTGCTGCGCCAGGGCACGGGCAATAAACACCCTTTGCTGCTGCCCTCCGCTCAGTTGACTTATTTGCCGGTTCGATAGGTCTAAAATACCCACCCGTTCCAGGGCCTCGCTCACCAATTGCTTATCTTTAGCTGAAAGCCGTTTGAAGAGGTTGCTTTTGCGGTAGCGACCCATTTCCACCACATCGCGCACGCTGGCGGGAAAATCCCAATCTACTGATTCTCGTTGCGGAACGTAGCTCACCTGTTCGCGTACCTCCTTTAAATCTTTGCCAAACAGCTTTACGTAACCGCTGTCGGGCTCCATTAGACCCATAACGTTTCGCAGCAGTGTGGTTTTGCCCGAGCCATTGGGGCCCACAATGCCAATCAGTTTGCCCTGTGGCAAAGTAAAGTCAATGTCCCACAGCACCGGTTTGCGATTGTAGCTTGCGGTAAGGTTGTGCACCTCTAACGCGGGGGTTTTATTTTCCTGTTTATCAGTGTTCATTCTAAAGCCCTTGCTATGGTTTCCACGTTTTTTTCGAACATTCCGATATAGGTTTCGGCCCCGCTGCCCGCTCCGCCCAGTGCATCGGAGTAGAGCTCGCCACCCAGCTTTAAATTGTGTCCTCTTTCGCGCGCGCCTTGAATAACGGCCTCAACGGATCGCTTGGGTACACTGCTCTCTATAAAGATCGCCTTGATTTCATTCTCCACTATAAAATTCACCAATCTACTCACATCCTGAATGCCATATTCAGCGGCTGTTGATATGCCCTGCAGGCCTTTCACCTCGATATTGTACACCCGCCCAAAATACTTGAAAGCATCGTGTGCAGTTATCAATACTCGCTGTTTATCAGGTATGTTATCCAGCTTGTATTGATTGTTAATATGCAACTGTTCCATGGAGTTCTGCAGTTTTTCCCGGTTTTGATTTATCCTGGCCTGGTGGGTGGGAAAAGTTGTGCTCAGTTTGTTGGCAATGGCTTCCACCACCAATTTCCAAAGGGTTGGATCAAACCACACGTGCGGGTCGTAATTGCTGGCGTACTCGCTGGCATTTATGAGCAGGCTATCGGGTATGGCCTCGGCAGCGGCCAGCGTTTCCGTATTGCGGAGCTTTCTAAAAATATCGTTCATTTTCCCCTCCAGGTGTAGCCCGTTGTAAATAATCAAATCGGCCTGTGCCAGCTTTTGAACATCGCCCTGAGAGGCTTTATACAGGTGCGGATCTACGCCCGGACCCATCAAGCTTTCAACTTTTATGCTGTCTATGCCCCGCAGCAAGTCGCTGGTTACGCTGCCCAAAATATTAGTGGTGACGACTACGCTGGGCTGCTCCTTTTTGGCCTGGCTGCAGGAGGTGGCCAGGAAAAACAAAAAACCCATCAAGGCGAATACTGTTTTATTCATAGTGGCTTTACGTATATGTTTGAAGCAGCTATCTCGCTGAGGTTTAAGGTTTCACCCTTGTGTTGCAGGGTCATGCTTTGGTCAAAGGATTCAATGTTGAGCACCTCCAGTTCATTGCCCAGCTCTATGCCCGTTTTGCGGATGTAGCGCAAAAACTCCTTGCTGGTGTCTTTTACGCCTTTCACCATTACCCGGGTGCCTTCTTCCACTTGGTTGAGGGTGAGCTGTTCGCGTTTTGGAAAAACTCCTTCGGCATTGGGGATGGGGTCGCCATGAGGGTCGTACTGCGGGTTGCCCAAAAATACGGCCAGCCTTTCGGTGAGTTTTGCCGATTGAATATGCTCCAGTTGCTCGGCAATCTCGTGTACCTCTTCCCAGCCGAAATCCAGCTTTTGTACCAAAAAGGTTTCCCACAGGCGGTGCTTGCGCAAAACCGCGGTAGCCGCCCCCAGGCCCGGATCGGTGAGCTTTGAACCCTTGTAAGGGGTATAACTGATGAGTTTTTTCTCACTTAGCTTTCGCAACATATCGGTTACCGTGGCGGCCTTGGTATCCAAGCGCTCGGCAATGGCATTGGTGCTCACCAGTTTATCGCCCGGCCGGCCAATAAAGTATATGGCCTTCAGATAGTTCTCCTCGGTGTAACTTAGTTTTTTCATTTCTAAATTAAGGGGCTAAAGGTAGCGAAGATTTGGGAGCTGGAAAATATAGTTTAGAGGCGTCTAAATATGCCCATAAGACGGTTGGATATTAATCACGAATTGGCTTTGCGCTTGTTGCACTTCGCTCGCTGGTGGTCTGTCTATTCTCACCCTTCTGACGGCAGCAGCTTTGCGGGTATAGCCGTCTGACGGGATGCACCCCGAGCGTCAGAAGGCTATCAGCCATCAGACGCATCAATGAGTTTGAATCATAGTGCTTAAAAAGCCTATCACGAATTATCTTTTCGGGTAGTACGATTGAACCCTCGCCACGCACGATGTATCGCACGAATTATCCATTCAACTAATTCACTATAAAAACACATGAGAAACCAGGGTCAAGCCTGGCGTGATGGCGGAATAGCCTAGCATTTGTTCTATCGCCCTCTGCTGACCAAAAATCACCGGCCCTCTGCCCTCATTTTCAAGGAGGGCGGGCTCGCTAAAAGCGAAGCGGGTGGTTTCTTCTAACCCTTCTGACGGGAGCAGTTTGGTGGGTATAGTCGTCTGACGGGGAGCAAGAGCGTCAGAAGGCTTTCAGCCGTCAGACGCATGAATGAGGATAAAAAAGGACGTGTGTTTGTAAACCATCAATTCACTGGTTTGCTTTCCAGGTAGGACTTTGTTACTCCCTTTGCTAAGTGAGTGCCATAAATGCACTAATCAACCAGTTAACTACTTACCTAGAGCGGGTCTTGCACCCTGGCGAGAAAACCAAGAGCGTTCCTCCCATATCTAACTTACTGAACCGCGTAAAGCTTGTAGGAGCCGTTGCTGTAGTGCACGGGCAGGTCTAAATCTTTTTGAGTGTATTGTGCGACAAATACGGTTGAGTGGGTATCCAGCAGGGGCTGTGCAATTCTGCGGAAATCCTCCTCGGTATTTTCCATATAATCTTCCCGTAGGTTTTTGGGATCAACGCAGCCCAGGCTTTCCATTCGATTGAGCCAATACGAGGCGTACTCTTCACTAAAAAAGGCCTTGGTGCCATCGTACCAGTCGCCATAGGAAGCCCGTTGACTCAGCACTCTAAAGCCAGGTTCCTGTGGGGGTACAATTACAATTACATCGTTATCGGTATTGGCCGCCACCCACTTTTGCAGGTCCTTCCAATCGTCTTTAAACCGCGGTTCTTTAATGTCCATTCCGCCCCGAAGGGTATATCCCAAAATTCCCAATAGCAAAAACGCTCCCAGCAATGAAATTTTTTGGAAGGCCTGAAATTTTGTGTAATTCAGCGCCAACCAGGCCAGGCCTATTATGCCTATGGCTGCGGCCGATTTGGCCGGTTCTCCATAAACGTACTGCAGGAGCAACAAGGGGGCAATTGCAAAATGCAGAGGGCGAGGCTGCCTGAAAATCATTCCGCTGAAAAGCACAACGGTTAGCAGAATGAAAAAGCGATACGAGCGAAAAAACTGAAACTGCAATATCGATTTTAGGGGATAAAACTCTGTAAACAGCGTGCCCACGAGCAGCATGAGCACCGTTGCCAGGGCATAGCCCTTCAAAAAGCGCTCTTGAAAAAGCGGCAGTTTGCTGCGCCACAAAAGCAGGCCAAAAGCCAAGGCCACCAGGGCCGATTTCAGCAAAATGGCCAGCGGGAAGGCCGAAGGCATGGCGTGGTGGGCGTTGCGCAACTTCATTACCTGCATCCACACGTTTTGCATATCACCGGTAACCAGGCTGCCACCAGCGCTAAGTTTGAGGTATAAAACCGGAGCCGCCAGGGTTAAAAACACTGCGGCATAGCTCAGGTATTTATGCTTCCAGCCGCGGGCAAAGAGCATGCCTGTCCACGCACCCGCCATTAGATACACGGTAGAGAGGGGGTGTAAATTGAAGGCGATGGCCTGCTGCAACACGGCTGTCCAATATTTTTTGCGAAAGAGTGCCGCCAGTGAAAACACCAGGAAGGGATAACTCAGCGTGCGCTCCATTAAATAGGTGCTCCACAGCTCAACATCGCCTATAACCGGAAAGGCAAAGCTTAGCATTACCACGCAAAAAAGGGCGGCTTTCTGGTTTTTAAACATGCTCATGCTCAACCGGTAAAACCCGATTATGGTGAATACATGTGCCACCAGGTACAGGGCGAAAAAAAGCAATGGAATATTGTAAGCCGTTAAGGGCAACAAAAACTGAATGAGGTGTAAAAAAATGGTGGGCGAGTTTTCACGTTGCTCCACCAAGAGCTCATTGGGAAAAAGCTCCGGATTGAGCATGTCGTACAGCCAGGGCAGCGAAATATACTGATTCCAGAGACCAAACTGGTACTGGTTTATTCCCACCACCGAGGCGAAAATAATTACCCCCAGCAATATTGCCGGGTATTTTTGAGTGAGTAGAGTTTTCATAAAGCTTGCGCTTATCGAAATAAAAGTACAGGGCCGTAAATGGTCCGGGGGAATTTCTTCGATAAAGGGCGCGTACTTTACGATAGACAGCCGCGGGCACCCATCTTATCGCATCCAAGCGGGCAACTCCCGGCCGGGAAGTACAGGGCACTTTCCGGGCAGTGTGTTACCCGGTTTTGCGGGATTTTAGGCAAGTGGAAAAAAAAGTAAATACATTCGCGTATGCAGGAGAAAAGTCAAACAAACACCGCTACTTCGTCAAGAGCTTTGCGCTTTAAGTTGGGCACACTGGCATTTTTGGCCGGGTAGCCTACCGGCAGAAGCAAATAAGGTTTTTCGTTGGCGGGCCTATCGAGTATGTCGCTCAGGAAATTCATGGGACTGGGCGTATGAGTAAGGGTAGCCAGGCCGCATTGATGAATAGCGCTTATTAAAAAGCCCGCAGCTATGCCCACCGATTCATTCACATAATAGTGCTTGTTTTTTTGCCCGTTTAGCTCGGTATAGCTTTCCTTAAAAAGCACAATTAGCCAGGGAGCCACTTCTAAAAAGGGCTTTTGCCAGTCGGTACCGAGGGGCGCCAGGTCTTTTAGCCAGCTATCGGGGGCACGATTATCGTAAAACTCTTTCTCCTCGGCCTCGGCCGCCAGCCTTATTTTCTTTTTTACTTCGGCATCGTGTATGGCCACAAATTTCNNGCTGGGCGCGGATGAAGCCGTAAGGATCAGGTTTTCAATCACCCTTTTAGGCACGGGTGCATCGGCAAAGTAGCGACAAGAGCGCCTTTTGTTTATTTCGCGGTATACGCGCTGGCTTTTTGCCGATAACTCATCGCCCGTGAGCTTGGGCAAAGTAAAAGGAATGAATGGTTGGTTGCTGCGCTTCATCTTTTGGAACAATCAGTATATTAGCAAGAATTAGATTACGAAACTCGCTAAATTTTCCCAATGTTACGATCTGTTGCCCTTGCCATGGCCTTGCTTTGCATACTCAGTACCCAAGCCCAAATCAATCAGCTAAACCCACAGGGCCCCGCCTTCTACTTCACTGATGCCCATTTATTTAACGACCAAAGCCTGTACCTGGCCACGGGGCAGCCTTTTATTGTGAAAGTTCCCGATTTAACCGACTCGGCCAGTTGGGGCAAAAACTACGGGGTAATATTTACCGACAGCTTTGATGTGAACAACTTTGAAGTGTTGACTAAAAGTATTTTTGCGGTAGGCCCACACTTTACGCGCGATGGCGGACAAACTTTTGGCCATTTGCACGCCCCGGATGATGAGGAAATTTACTTCAACGATGGCCAGGATTGGGCCGTGATTGACGACCAAAGGCGTTTGTTTTACAGCGATGATGCCGGAAGCTCTTGGACAAAAGCCCCCGGTAACAACTGGCATTTTTGGAACCGCTCGCAAAACAGCCTGATGTTTTACCGGCACACCGATACTACCGCCTGGCAGTTTGCCAATGACAGCCTCTACTTTATTATGCGCATGCGTAAGGAATATGCCGGGTTTTCTACCTATACTTGGATGCATCAGCTGGATACTTCGCGTTTTGCCTTTGAGCAACAACAACGAGTTTTTATCTACGATACTTTTCACCACGTGTTGAGCATGGATACCAACCACTTTTTCCGCGCGAATTACACCCAGGTATATATTGAGGGCAAGCGCATTGTGCGCGAAGAGCCCGCGGGTAAAATTCAAACCGCCATTGCCCCGCAATTAAACTGGACGGGCAAAAGCCCGGGATACAACGGCCCGTCTTTTGGACATAGCAACGGGGTGAGCTTTTATAATTCGTACTTGCCCTTTGTGCCTTTTGGCGAAGGCTGCCTGGCCTACTTTCGCTTAAACGGGAATCATCGGCAATTGCTGGGCAGCAACAAGCACCCCGGCACCGGTAAAATTTATGCCACCAACGACAGTGACCGGTTTTACGCCCCAACCACGAACTTGCACATGACGCATGCGGGCAGGTTTTTCAACAGCCAGGGCCTTGCGGTGGGCATTGATTCTTCGGGGCGTCAATTCCAGCACGTTACCTTTGACACAGGCCGCAGTGGGCTGGGCTATTATTACCATCAGGCCGCCAAGTCAAATGACAACGCTAAAACCTGGACACACTACCGCAGCAGCGCTGATTACGCAACTGGCTCGGGAACGTATGACTTTCGCAATTTGCAATACTCTGTTGAGGGAAATTGCATTTGGGCCAGCGTGCGCGAATCGAGGTTTGGGCATTACGACTATGTGGGCCGTGAGAAAAGCAACGGAACCCTGGAAAGCGCGGTGATCAATACCGCCTATTTCGGCTCTATCTTTAACCACGCGCAGCTTTTGGCCCTGAATTGTGATACCGCAATGATTATCATTTACGGCAAGGCCTATTATACCGATGCGGGCCCCGATCATTTTACTTCCCTCAACTGGAGCGACACTCTGGATGTTTATTCCCTTGTGCACGATGGTGAAAAGGCCGTTGCGAACACCAGTGCCGGCTTTTATACCTCCCCCGACCTACTGAACTGGATCCGCGTTTCATCGGCCGTTATGAAAGCGCCCATAATGGCTGTATTGGATCAGGGCCAATACTTTGGTCTGCATCATTACCACCTGCACTATTCGCGCGACAGCGGCCAAACCACCAACAAGATTTTACTGCCCTGGAGCCCAGTTGAGTCAATAGCCGTTGCCAATAAAACCGACTTGTTGCTGGGTGGACAAAACGGGCAGTTGTACCTCTTGAAAAATGCCGCCACGGCCAATATTACCATCGGCAATGAAGAAGTCATTCCTGACGATAAAGCCCCCGAAGTAGTGTATTTCCCCAACCCTGCGCAAAGTTATTTTACATTACAGTGGAAGGAAGCGAGTGCCGGCCGCCTGCAAATCTTTAATTTAAGTGGTAAGGAGGTGCGCCAGCTTTCTTTTCAAAAAACCAATACCCTGGATCTGGATATAAGCGAGCTGGAGCGCGGGATTTACATCGTTAAGCTTGAGGTTGACGGCCGGTGGGAGCAGATAAAATTGCTGGTGGAGTAAATTATGGACGTACAAAGAATGTAAAACGGAAGTATTAAGAATTTCTTTCGCACGCATAGTTTTGGCGCCAGGAGGTTTTCAGCCGTCAGATGCTTTTGAGGAATAGCCACGAATGCCCGAAAAATAATTCGCGTGAGGATTTGGATACAAGATAGTTACATTTGGCAGCACTAATATATACCCACTGTGACCAAACTGTTTGCTTCTCTTTTGATCTGCCTGAGCTTTTCCGGCTTGGCACAATTAAAAATGATTAATCCCGTAACTTTTCCCTTCACGGCAAACAACAAATATGTTTTTGATGACGGAACAGCATATGTTATAGAGCGTGGGTTTTTCATTAAAGTAAGCAATATTGAAGATCCAGCTAATGGTAATATCGAAATTTTAAAAGCTGCACCTTACTCCAGAAACAACTGGCCTGCTCCGCTTTTCTGCTTCAATAAACAACATTGTATTTGCGGAACTTTTAGAACTACCAACGGTGGTAGAACTTGGGTAAATGACTTTAAGCTTCAGCAGTATACTCCTCAATGGTGCAATGAGGATGGTCTTTGTATAAAGCTTGGTGGATCAAATGGTTTGTGGATCAGCGATAATTATGGAAAGAAATGGAAAGGAGACTTAAATTACTACCAATGTCGCATAGTAGGTGAAGGCATAAATGAGGTTTTAATTGTCGATAATTGGAGAGACACTTTATATGCTGTATCTATTGTTGACAGTATCTATCCCTTGGGTAGAAGCTCGAGCTTTCATCCCATCGGTCATCTTAATTATTTGGCACCCATTAAAAATGGCTTTGTAAGCATAACTAGTGGTACTGTAGTATCTCAATATGATAGTTTAACTCAATCGATTACCAGCATTCACAATTTCCCAAGCTTGGAAAGCATGGGAAAAAGGCCGGTTGTTCTAAAAGATGCTGATACAATAATTATAGCAGGACTTAAGGAAGTAGTGTATAGTTATACTAATGGAACGAGTTGGCAAGTTGACTCTATTGAAGGAGATATTAAAGAGATAGACAAATGGGGCAACGTAATTTATGACCTACAATTAAAGAGCTTTTTGCATAATGGTAAGGTTTTCATTCCACGCCCAAACATGAATTTGGATGCTGGTGTATTCGCCTTTTTAGATATGGACAGTCTTAAATATAAATACACCAAGGGAAATGACCTCTACTCAGATGGAAATCTGATAGAGCTTGGAAACACATTTTACATGGGCTCAGCCAATAACGGAAAGGGCATGGATGCTATTGTGCAGGTTGATACATCTGGCAGTTTAATTAACCGTTTTTATTTTCCTGAAGCTGTGGAAGCCTATGACTTCGCTGACTCCCTTAATGGTTTTGGGCTGATGGGACAAAATTGGAATTCACTACGCTATTCAACCAGTGATGGTGGGCATACATGGTCAATTGACACTTTGAATTATAGCGATTTCGATTATTCAAGCAGGTATGTTGAAGATGGTAATTGTATTATCAGTAGAGGGAGAGTGCAATACCGTTTCAACCTATTTGATAAAAGTTTCAACCTTTTAAACCAAAATTCCAATCTCCCACCTATAAATACCCAAAACTCGTATTTTAAAAATTGTGATACTGGAGTGGTTGCCACAATAGACCAATTATATTATACCACTGATGGAGGTATTACCTTTGCTCCGGTTTTACCAAATCCAAATCACGATCAAATTTGGGGTTTTACAGCTGGCTTTTCGTCTTATTGTTTAGCCAAAGGTGCTGCACTTTACATGAGTAGTAATCTTGATGGTCCTTATCAAAAATTTGCATTTAGTTCTATGCCTACGTTAGGCACAGTTACCAAGGACTTGAAAATAATGGGACATAATCATTTCAATAGAATGTTTTACTACAGTAGCGATACAGGTAAAACCTGGCAGTCTGCCGAAATATATCTTGGAAAAATAAAACAAATA